CATGTTCTCGATTCACAAAAGAGCAGACCGAGTATCCCTATATTTTAGAAACTCTAGAATTTACTCAATCCACTGTAGCTCAGTCTAACTTCAGAGGTCAGAGAGAATTCCCAAGAGCTCTTATGGCATTTTTTCACTCTCTGTAATACCAAAGTGATTTCCTAGAGGTAAATGTCCAGTTTATATATGACTACTTTGTGGACAACTAATGTAAAGAAGAAATATGGACTCAGTTGCTACCTCTTCTGAACAGAATAAGCTTTCAGATTACTTTTTGCCATGACTTGGGTCAGGATTCAACAGGTATCAAAATATGTATGTGTACTTAACTCTCAGCACCCATCTAAGGTGGACTTTCTCTTCCAGTGTACCATTTAGTTTAGACATGTATAGTTTGAGAAAATGATTAGACCTATTTGCATTTTAATTTGATCCATACATTTGCATATATCCCAAGGAAAGCATAACCCTGCCTGCTCACAACAATATATCCTGCTTTTATACCCTTTCCCTCCTGCCCTGTTCCCGTGCTTCTGTCACTTCCCCACACGGAACCTCATACACATACACTCACATTCAAACATCCCACCCTCACCTGTAGCTCTCAAGATGGCCAACGTCAGGAAGACAGGTAAGATTATTTTGAATGTTATTTGGAATCTTGGCTCACCTGCAGTCCTATTTCTCCTGTCTATCTTCCTCAGGCTTGTGGGCAGATTGTAATTTGTATCAGCCATGGCACCAAAACAGAATGACTTTGGCCCCATAGGGGCTAGGGCTTTTATACCTCAATGGACTTAGCATTTTTTTGCACCAATAATTTGTGAAATGGTACCCCGGAAGAGTTGTTTCACGTCCCCTGGGTCAGCTGAGTAGTTTATGTAGCTCCCAGAGAAGAGTTCACATTTCTTAAAATCAGCACCCAGGTCTGCCCAGAAGCTGCATGACTAAACGCAATTTGGATGGGGAAATGCTTTAGCCCCCCTGGTTGCACGTGCAAAGCTGCAAGGGCAGTTTTAGAGGGTTCCTTTAATCTCCTCTTTTAATATGAGATGTCAGTTCCCACAGTGGATAGTCACATTAAGAATTAATTATTAAAATCCATATTTGTATTTAAAGGCTAGATAGAATTCGCTGGAGGTTTATAATGGAACTGTCATTTTAGGATTAATCAGGGTTATGTTGGTAAGACTTGAAAACCAACACACAATTTCTGTGAAAGTCGTGAATCATTAAGATACCCCAGAGCTTTTAACAGTGATTCTCACACAACAGAATTTCATCCACCCTTCATCCAAGCCAGTCCTTACATAGGGAGGCCCGAAGTGTATCCGCACCTTGGCTTATGCTTTGCCAACCCTCTGCTTAAGCTCAGATCTGCTTCATCAGCCACCAGGTTGTTCAGGATTACCTCCCCTGCCAAAACCACCAATGAGGGCAAAGGCCATTTTATTAATCGTCCATATTGTGTGGGGTTTGTGGCCTCCTTATCAGAATGCAGTGGCGACGTAGTGACTGCAGTAAACTGGTCCAATGTACAGCCCAGCATTTAAAATATTATATCCACATGAAGAGCAAAGCAAATGCCGAAAGGTTTTGAGTGATCATAGTGCCTCAGCTTCGCTCCCTCGCCTAGTTCTGTATCAGACAGCGGTTGCTCAAAGGACTGCCAGCATATATTCGCATCAAGCTAGGCAAGAGCATTATCTCCCCACCCTAGATCTTGGGGGCAGTTGGTGACAGTGCTTTACCAGCTCAGTACTCAACTTCCTCTCGAGTATTATGCATTTGATTACTCTCTTCATCAAGTTGTTGAGTCCCACTTCCATGATCTTATGGAAAATGCAGTAACTCTGAAAATAAACTAATAATAATTATCCCGTACTGAGTGCCTACTACGTACCTTTATTTCTCACCACCTCATGAGATGTAGGCATTCTTACTCCCTTTCTATGGATGGAGGAAACTGAGGCACACAGAGTAACTCAGGGTAGCACAGCTAGTAAGTGTCAGAACCAGAATTAACAGCTTGGCTCTGACTCCAAAATCTATTCCCTTTCCGCTTCGCTGTAATACTTAAGAATAGTGGGGTGGATATGGACTACTTAAATCCTATCCTAGGACACTTTATAAATCCTTCTGCATTAGGCTACTGTAAAATTTGCACCTGAACCCAGACAAGTGAGGAAGGGGGACCTGTGCCTCTCACGTGTGACGGGCCTGGTTTCAGTCACGTCTGGGGGACAGAAGGGAGCTGAGTTTGGCCTTCCAGGCATGTCTACAAAAGGCCGTCCCAGCAAGGCTGTTGTAGCCCCAGGACAGGCCACAATCCTTTGGCACATAGGCACACCTTCATTGTGTAACCTTAAATGGCACCCACTATGCTTATTATGGTTTTTTTTAAAAGTGCTGTAATGACAATGGTTAACATTTGTTCAAAGATTACTCTGTGAGTGAGTGAGCTGGGCGTTTGCCTGGTTTTCAGTGAAAGCCAGATTGGAACTAGCAGGCAAGTAGGCAGGGCCAGAAGAGAGCCTGGAGGCACTTTTCAAGAAATGACTCTCTTAGACATTTGTGACCAAATTTTAGTTTGTTTGTATTTCCCTCAACTGATTTACTCTATTTTGTTCTCTGCTCTGACTCTCATTCTGAGGCTGAACATTCCCTCAAGATAACCTCTGTTATGCTGTCACACACCACCCAACCTCCAGGACACAATGCCTCTCACCCCTACTAAAACCATCCTGCTTGCCTTCTCTTCCCTTCAGGCTCAGTCCAAAGTGTCAGCTAACTGGTGTATTCATGTGAGAGGTAGTATATGTGCAAATTTCTTGGGGAGGTCTGGAGAATATCTCCTGCTTTTGTTTTCACTCATTATTGGATTTGGCCATGCAAAAAATATTTGGAGGAAAGACCAAACTCGGCATCTCTCATTGGAATGGCCTGGTATGTGTGCAAAGCTGGTCATTTGGACTCATGGCCAAGTGAATGGCTGGCGTGTCTGGGAAGCTATAAGCCAACTACGGCCTGTGCTAGGGACACATACACACTGTAGCAAATTAAAAAGAAGACCCATTTTGCATGATCCCCTAAAGTAAACAAGATTTAGTTCTTTGTTGGTGTACCCGACGAGCTTTCCTGAACTTGGACATCTTAACCAGTAGTCATGAGGCTAAAAATCTGAAGCCAGGTTACTACCCCTTGTTTTAGAAAGATGTATTTAACTATCTAAGTACAAAAGTTTATCCTCATTCTACACATACTGAATTTGTTTCCTAAAGGTCACAGTCATATTGGAAATGTTTTCTTAAAATTAAAAACATCCTTAATTTCTGAATTAGGAAAATCTGCAGTAGTACACTGCTTTAATAGCCCTTTGGAGGACCTGAAGTACTGAGATTCTTAGTTTCACCCCTCGGCTCTGTGCTGGAGAGCACTATCACAGGAGAAGTCAAATATCTGTAATATTCTAACAGTCCACGTGAAGAAGTCATCCTAGACATTTTCCAAAATCAGAGGAAATGTTAGGAGTTACAGATTAAAAGCCAGTTAAGCCACTATTGATTTTTAAAATTGAGCAAGAACGTTCACTTGGATCTCAGGGCTTGTAGGAAAAAATATTTTTAAACCTTAGCTTGAATTTGGTGTCCATAAGATGGGAACTGATTTGAAAACTACAGAACTAGAGCAAAGCATAACATATGGTTGGGAACCAAAATTTAAAATAAGGGGGAAAAAGAAGAGACCTCTTGATGCTGTTGCATGCAGTGCGGTAGCTCTGCCCCTGCCCAGCGCACCCCCGCTCCCCCGCCTAAACTCCCAGCGGATGAGCTGCATCCCCCTGCAATAAGGACCCCTTTAGGAAGTAACCACTTCCTCAATTTGGCTCACAGCCACCTTGCTGCAGAATGGAGCAGTCATGGATGTGTAGTGGTAACATTTGTGAATGGGTAGGTACTGCCAAAACCAGCACATCTATTTCCCATTGATACGATGTGAGTGAAAAACTCCCGGCTGTTTTTTTTTTTCTTTTTCCACTTCGAGGACAAGGTAACAGATGTGGGCTCTTCCTGTGAGCTCAGCCTAGTCACAAATATTGCCGCTACATGTGCAGAATCAAACAAGAACAGCATAATACAGCATAGCTTGCACATATCTTTCATATGGGATATCTTCACGACGGAGATGTTATCTAAATAGGGAGGGTTTTTGTTGTGTTTTGTTTTAGTTTCAGTAACATTCCAGTCAATAAGGTGTAGGTACCTTATTGACAGGACGACCATACCCTCCATGCATTATTAAGATCTACTTTGATGGCACAGAATCCTCCCCTGTACAGAAATGGTGGTTGTAGGGACTAATCAGACCATTTTTGTATGTTTTCATCAGACTCTTTGTTTGGCTGGAACTCTGCACTCCTTACTGCTTGCATGTTTACTAATTTATTATTAAAACCCCCGTATTTGCCTTTGTTCTTTCACAACTAACACACTGGCCTCTGAATGCATGAGTTTTGTGTGAACTGGTGTGTGACTTAGCAACTAATAAATGTATCAGTTGTATTATATTTTCAGATCTTAAAAATATAACTTGAATTACTGTACTAAAACATTTTTTACATTAAGTGATAAAAATAAGGCAGAATATGAATTTGTTGTACAGTTAATTTACCATTATGAGCTCTTAGAATCATTTTATCCCTTCTCCATTTTAGCTTTTTATCTATTTGTATAGGAAACTTCATTATTGGCTTTCTAGTTGAAGAGTCTGATTCTGTGTGCTAACATGTGAACAATCCATTGCAGTTATGACATTAGGAAGGTAAAATTCCAGCATTCCTGTGTTGTGAAGGACAGAGAATCTCCCCGTAGCTAAACCTTTGCACTAGTGGCCTGTGGAAATAGGAATCAGAGGGTTTGTTCTGAACCCACTTTTCAGATATATGAAAAAGATGTTAGGCAATCACATAATATTTATGTCATGTGTTCTCAACGTCTCAGGACTCTGTCTCCTGCCAAGTCTCCCTCTTCATCAACTGGGTCTATTGCCTCCAGCAGAAAATACCCATACCCAATGCCTCCACTTCCTGATGAAGAGAAGAAAGTGAACCGACAAAGTGCCAGGGTACGTGGAAACTGCTGTATGCTAACAGCTTCGATCATTATTGTTCATTTATGAGTTCATAGTTTAAAAGAGCCATTTTTCCTTTTTTGTTTATAAAAAAAATGAAAAAAAAGAAGATTTGCAAGATTCCATTGAAAAATGGTAGATTTGGGGGGCTCAGATTTATTTTTGCAAATGAGCTTAATTACTGCATTGAGAAATGCTAGAGATATTTGGTATGTTTTAATCATTCATTGCTATATATATTTTATTATACATTGTAGCTAAAATATTACAGTCTGAAATAAAGCAGAGAATGTATTTTGCTTTATCAGTTTTTTAATATACCTGGAAATGCCAGAAATTAAATAAACTAGCCTCATTTCCATGTCTGATTTGTTTCCTCTTACTGGCTAATAACACCCAATAGGACTTTAGAAACCAGAACCTATGATAGAAAGTTAGACTAGTGCCTTGGAGACGGGGTGGAATTTGGATACAATGAATTTGGATACATACGAAAATCTATAATATTAAAAAAAATATGGTAAAGTGTATGGTAAAATTTAGCAACCTTTTATATTTTAAAAAGCCAGGTTTATAAACACGTAAAAGTTTGTTATTTATATAAAAATATGGTTCATCAGAAATTTATTTACTTACTTTTTTTAGTTTGTCATTGGGCCTTCACATAGAAGAACCAATTCCTTTTTATTTTATTTTCTTATTGAGGAATTATATTCGTATAATATAGTAATATAACTTAGCATATGTTATACACAGTGTTGTATTAGTTTCAGGTGTGCCAGAAGTTTCTTTAAATACTGAGTCCTCTTTTATACTTTAATTATGGATCTACTCAGCCTCACAGTGTCCCCGGAACACATCCATTATGTGAAATTTGAGATACAGTTGAGTTTAGAGAGGCAGACCAGCCCTCAGGGGCTTAAGTGAAAGATATAACTAAAGAATAATTACTTTTATTGATATCCAGACTCTGTTGTGGTCAGTTACAGTGTAATGTGGTTCTTCTTGGAAATAATTTTGCAATAAAATAAAATAAAGCTTTAAAAGCCTGGGCAGATTTATCTGCTAGTGGGTCTTGGGTTCCTAGGATTTTTGGTTTTGAAAGATATTTCAGTGACTCTTTGATCCTGAACTTAAATAATGGGATTCAAGGTAAACATATATCATTCAAATTTTACCTCGATCAACTCATAGTCAGTAAGAAAACTCAACTTGTTAAAAGCAGACTAGATTACTATAACCAAAAAGACTTGAAAACCAGTCAGTGGTGTTTTGTTAATTACATGAAGAAATACCTTCCTGTGTTAACACGGGTAATGGTAAAAGATGGAAAGGAAGAAGAAAATTCGGATACCCAGCGCTCAGCTTTCTGGTTTTAAAAAACAGAGTTGTTAATTGACATCCAGTTGTCCATGATGTGAGTATGTCGTAATGAAATCCAAGGCTGATGGCATTCCTCAGGGAACAAAGTGTAACAGCCCAGTTTTTACCTCTGATAAATTGTCTACGTTGCTGTATTGCTCTAATTGGGGATGTTCTCTCAGCCAATGTCATGCCAGACTGCAGGTTATTAATGTTCCCACGTGAAAGCCTGTGGAAATGTAAGCTCCCAGAAGTAGTGGCTGGCCCATGGCCTCTTCCCTGGGACAGTGGTTTGAAAGGTCAGGTGGATCCATCCACCATGGAACATCCACAGGAGCACACAGCAGAATCCTGCAGAGTAGGCAGCCCCTGTCTCTGGGCTGTCTTTGTGGGCTGTGGAGAATCAAGCAAGCAGATCTTTTTATGAGCAACCCCTCCATCTAGAAATGGCCAGTCATGTCTGTTTCTAAAAGTGATGGCTTGGCAGTTCTTTGCTCCTTCTTCTGCACTGGGATAAGGGTGATTTTCTGGTTCCCCTAGTGCTATCCTTTTGTTCCCCTTTCTGCAAGCTGTCACTAATTTTTATAATCATTTGTAAGAATGCTGGGCTCACTGAAGCTGAAGTCTGAACCCTTTACTACTCCATACCACCGTCTGAGCATCGGTCCAGATCCTCTTTCCCTGAGGCACCTTGCAGACGCCCTGTTTAACCATTCGTCTTCACTAGTCTCCACCAACAGGGGTCATTCACACACAAACATCCTTACCTTTGAGAGGTTCGGTCTCCAAAGGGTGAGAACACAGGCGGCTTTACCACAGTCTTTGTGGAGTAGCCATCATGGGTACGCAGAACAAGACTTCCATGAAGATTCAAGAGAACCTATTAAGGGAACCTCTACAGAAACATCCACATAGTCACTTAGCTGTTTCTGCTTTTTCTTTCCCAGAAACTCAGTTAGATACATAATGACATGCCCCAGATTTTCAGTAAAAATGGAATTTGGATGTAATTTAAGTCACACCAGTCTTAGACTTTCTTTGTTCATGTTTATAAAAGTATACCCAAACCATATTTCCTGGAAACAAAATTTTATCAGCTTGATCTCCCCCACCTCCCCTTTTTTTTTTTTAAATTGGCCGTCCTCCGGTGAACGGAGTTGCATTCATATTTGATCATGCCAAGGTTGTTTACCGTGCATTAAAGCAATTACTGAACCTTGTAGAAATTAGATATGAACAGGACCAGGGTACAGACCTGGTGGCAGAGGCAAGAGGTGAGGGAATTAAAGAATGGACATCCTGCCTTGGGTGCATCATTCTACTCTCATGGGTCTCCTGAGAGAGGAGAGTCTTCTAGGAGGTAGTGATGGATTTGGAGAGCGGATGGCCTGGCTGTAGGCACACAGGAGAGATTTCTCTAAGTGGTTGGGGGTGGAATTGACAGAATCACACTTCCCCAAGGGCAGTACTTCTCAGTGTTGGCTGCACATGGGAATTGTTTGAAGGGCTTTTAAACTATGCTAATGCCGGAGTCCCACCCAGAGAGATTTTGATTTAGCTGGTCTGGTGTGCTGTCTGGGCTGTAGGATTTTTAAAAAGCTCCCCAGATCATTGAAATGTGCAGCTGGGTTGAGACCCACTGCGCTAGTGAGCTTTATCAGGATCCTGGGGAAGAGAAGAGCATGAGTGGTTTTAAAAAATAATATTTTAAATTATTTCATTGGTGATGTAATATTTAATTTATTCAAATTCTTGAGTAACATTAAATGAAGATGTGAGGGGTTTTATATTAAAAGGTGGCAGTTGCTAAAAAGGTTGAGACACAGGTTTAGAGGAAAGAGAAAGCTAAAGCTTTAAAGAGTGTTTATTGTATCCACTTACTCAACAAGAGTGTGCTTCCATAACCATGTAAGTATGGTTGGAATCACCAACTCTTTTTCATCTTCATAGCTCAGAATATACCTGTTTCCTGCTTTCACAGTGTGCAATTTTGCTTTTCTCTGTTGTGCAGCTATGGGAGACCTCCATTTAAGATCCACTGTTTACATGTGATACATCAAAACTGTTTACTTCAACTTTTATAGAAACCCAGCCTCACGGAATCACTGCAAATCTATCTGCTCTTCAGACAATACAGAGACCCTCTGAGATGCCCCAGAGGAGAGGAAGCCGAGTCTCACATCTGGATACCATTTTCTTTTTGTCATTGGCTTAGGATCTAAGTGAACCCTGAAAAGAACTACTGAAATGTTACACTATAACATGGGAACAATAAAGGTACTGGTATGCTCCTGGATAATCCGCATGACAGATATATGTAGAAATATCACTAAAGTTAACTCACATGACCCAAATGTAGCAAGTTTCCTAAGGGACAATAGTGGATTCAGAACTGACATTCTGAAGCACATCCTCATTGTAGACAGTAATGCTATGTGCATGAAGCTTCTGTTTATTGCAATTTCCACATTTAAGGAAACAACATCCCATAATAGAAACTAGCATGCAGGGCTAAGGCATCTAGGATTTGTCTGCAGGACTTTAAAGCTTTGAGAGGCCAATATCCCATATGCTAACTCTGAACATGTATCTTTATTATTTTTTTTTTACTTCTCATATTTATATCAGCATACAAGGAGAATTGTACATATGTAAACATTTTTAAAATAAAAGAAAGCAGCTGTTACACACAAGTATATTTTGCCAAATGCCTAAAAATAGTCACAGCCACATCATCATCATCCACCAAACGGTCTCTAAAGATGATAAGCAGATGATGTTGTAAATATAGTGGTCAGTGCTGTAAATGTGTCTCTCCATCATTGGTATGCGTCCAAACCATGTGATATCCCTTTAAACTGTGCGCGGTCTGGAGGCAGTGTTGTTGAGTAATTAATTGAACCAGAGAACAAAATGCCCAGCCTGCACAGCTGGCTGGGGCAGGGGTTGAGGGGTGAGGCTCCTCTCCTGCCCGCCTGCAGGCACTCCGATGCTGATGGCCACTCTCCGGGACTCCTGCAGCCCGCCCCCGTTCTCCTTCTGGGAGCTACAGTGCCTGCCTCAGCAGCTGTTAGCTTGCAGCGCCAGAGCCCTGCTAGTTTCACCCTGGAGGCCTATGAGCCCCTCGGCAGCACATCCTGCTGAGATGAAGCAAGTGCACCAAAGACACATGAGACCATGGGCCGCTGATACCTTGGTAGCTTCCAGCTTGCCAATACTCCAACCCTTTGTGGCCTAAATTTTTGTTCCTTGACAAAACTTTTTAGCCACCCTTACCTGTAAAATGAATGACTTGTTTTAATACAACCAACTTTTACACTGTTTATTAAGGAGATTTTTCATCAGTAGGATGGGAGTCTGGCAGGTCATTCCACCGTGATGTGGAAGCAAGATGGTGGAGGGTTCTACCGGCTGGGCTGGGAAGCCTCTCTGGGCCACTGAGGGTTTGAAGAAACCTAACACATAAGTGTGCGGCAACTGTGAAGTTACCCCGACAGTTGGCAGGGAAAAGAATCTGAGGTTTTGAACTCTTATTTTTTTTTAATTCCTAGAAAAGTAAGAAATCTATGTTCAAGTCCCTTCTTTAAAGCCAAAGTTCGATAAGCTGTTATAATGCAGCTCTGTCATTCTAAAAGAAAACTTCCCTGGGGAGGCTACTCTAGTGAACTCAGAAATTGCTGGGAATCAATCCGACGCTTTGATGTGAAGAGTACTTCTGAATTTCCTCATTTTCTCTCCTTTTCCCTTGAGAGGAATGGAATCTGCAGACAAGATTTCAGAAATTTCCTCTAAACTGGATCTCTCCCAGTCGTGTCCATGGTCAAAATCCACTTCATCTCCATGTGTAGTCATCTTAGATGCCCGAACTGAAGGGCCGTGTTAGAGGCAGCGTTTGATCCTCTCTTTATGTCTTCTGTAATGGACCTCTCTTCTGAAAGTCTTTAAAAACGTTTGACAAGCAATTTAATCATTCGAAACTGTAAAGTATAAACAGCATTTTTCATGGCAGGAGGGGATGTGATCGTCAATTCTACAATAAAATGATCCATCAGATTAAGATTTGGGTGAGTGTTGGGTGACCATGCCACACAGCTCAAGTGAAGGACAGGAGGGCAGACAGATTTGAAAATGTAGCAAATAAAGTGGTTTTTGACCAAGATCACTTTAATGTGCACTGAATGTTTTCTGGTATTGAGTGTATAAAATGCTAATGTTATAAGGTTTATTTTGACTATAAAAGAGTTTATAGATTTGAATGTAAGGTACTTTGTGTAAATATGCTTCTTAGTTATGGTTACACAAACCCTCATTTGAAAGAATTCACAAATGGTGAGCTACTTGTCCACAGATCCCCTCACCTCCCCCCTTCCTCGCTTTCTCAATTATTTTTACATGAAAATTATTATTCCGAGTGAAAATTACTGTTACATGCCTTTTGAGAGACATGGGTGTTTATAGTCATCCTCCCTGATAATAACATTCATATAGAACTGAATGAAAAGCATTTGTTTTATTTGCAGGGAGAGTGTGGTTTTAGAGTAGCTTTAATGTTCTGGGTATCTGTCGAAGAATGTTTGAACATTCTTACAGCCATTTGCAGAATTCTTTGACAAGTTCATAATCTCAGTGGGTAGTTTTGAGAAATACTTCCATGTGTAGTCATGGTTGGTATTTAGATGTATTAAATCTAAATATTTGTGACTTTACATCCACTGAGGCAGGGAAAATGGACCTAAGGCACCAAACAGAAGCACAGCATATTATTTTTTTATTATCTCTTTTGGAGAGGAACTTTGCAGTCACCATAGCAATTTGTATTATGCAACTAATATTTATAGCCCCCAGACAACTATAGGACCATTCTACTAAGCAGAGGAGAGCAGTTATTTGGCCTTTCTGTTCCATTGTATGCCTTTTTCTTCTCTTTCTGAAGTTGTGTGCGTAGAGAAAAACTTCAGATTAACAACCTGCTGCCTGAGATGTTCCATTTGTCCATAGACATTGCAGAAGAGCGAACTCGGATTTAAAGCAACATTGAAATCTCTTTATTAAGAATGCCAACCAGGGGGATGGGGGAGCAGAGGGAGCCCCTGAAGGAACAGACGGGTCCAACTGACTGGTCTGTGTCCAGCCAACTCTTTTCTTTAGTCAGGAAGTGGCATCCTCCTCTGGAGTCTCCCAACTGGAAAGTGATCCCCTGGTCGCCTGCAAATCTGTGGAAAGGAGTAAACTCAGACAGTGCTGCATAGTTAGAGTTTTCAATTTAGTGTCATTGCTCTATAAGAAACCCAGTGATGTTCCTTAAAAAAAAAAAAAAAAAAAAATTGACTAATAAAGTAAATGTAGGGTTAAATTGCCAAACATACTTTTTAGTTTGAGATAGGTGCTTTATGAAGTGGTACTACAGTTTCTCTCATTTTCCCCTTGCTTTAAAAAGGCTTTTAGAATTGTCTTTATATATAAGGTCAGTCTGGTATAGATTTCTGAACATAAGACTGATAGGGTTTCTAAAAGAAGTTGCTGATAAAATTAGATCTTTTGTGCACTTCCAAAAAGGGACTATTTATATTTGAATTTCATAACAGCCTTACATTTTTTTTTCTTCCATTGATTCCCTTGCAGATTTGCATAATTTATTCCCGCCCATTGTCCCAGATCTCTTGTGGCTACTTTACCTTTTGCTTTTTTAGATTTTGTTCTTTACTTCTTATAATTACCTGTGGGCCAGAGGAAATACGGTATTTTTACTCACTTTAAGTGTTTTGAAATCAAGCTTGTTTATTTATTTCATCCATCCTTCATTTCCTGTTGTCATGTAGTTCTGTTTTAACCTGTATATTTAGTGTTTTTAAATATTCCCTTGTGTTGTTCAACATGATAATAAATCCTTACCTGAAGAGAAGACTATTTTACTTTATTCTCCCTCTACGTGAAGGAAGGGTAGTTCATTGGGAGGATGCCAAGTGGCCAGGGGGCACAGAGATGTGTCACCGCATGATGGGCGTGAAGGGATGAAGAATGGCCAGCCCATTGCAGCCACAGCCTGACCAGGACACCACTGCTGCCACTGCCAAGGGTGCCCCCATGTGCAGTGTATTAGAAATGCCACCCTACCAGTGAGTAAGTTCCCAGGTTTTCCAGGAAATGCTCTGACTTGCATTGGTGGGCGTACCGTCTACGTTTCAGGGTCCTAATGGTCTTATTCCTTTCACTTCTTAGGTGATCCCCTAAAACCGTCACCCACGTTTTTGTTGTTCAGATGAATTTAGTCAAGGTGAATTTCTCATTCTGCTAGCTTAAATATATATAAGAAGCAAACATCTGTATGGAATAGAGCTTAATTTGAGGTTCAGTTTTTTTGCTTTTCCCCTCAGGTGTTTTCTGAATGGATAAAACTACTCTGATTTTGGATGCAGACTTTAGAAATCAGGGCATAGTATTTCTGTTCACATTTTATTCATGGCTTTGTCAGAGTCCCCAAAATGGAGTGCCATCTGGTTCAGTTTATAAGTAGAAAAACAAAACATTCAAAAACAAGAACCTGCCTAGTATTTTTGTCCTTTATACCCAGGGCCTGACGAACAGTAAGCATCCTCCCTATGGAATTTGAGAGATGCTTCCAGACCCTTCCTACTTCCCAAGTTGCTCCCCACCAGTACCTTGTCAGCCCTTTTCTTCTGACTAGGAACTGTCACTGTCATGGAGGTAGGTCCCCTTTTTTCCCAGCTAAACTGACACTGGGGAGAACCACAGGGGTGCAGAATAGGGGGGAAAGAGGCACCTTTTGTCTCCTCCCTTTGGCAACTGGGCGTGGATTATGCAACTTCAGAAGTCACAGACAGATTGGTCCTCAGGTGTGTTTCAGGGTGGGGGGGGGATAGGAAGCAAGCCTTGGGAGGTCACGGGGCATTTAGTCCTGGCATAGCAGCAGAATGGAGACGCGCATGAACTCGGAAGCCAGGTGTGCAGAAGGTGGTCACTGGGGGTGCGGTGGGGACAGAGGGGCTACTCGAGTGCCTGCAGTAGACCCGTGAGCTTTGCAGTTTTCCTGAGCGGTTGGCTCTATAAATACTTAACGGGCCGGTCCAAGATGCACCAGTCATTCTTGCCTGGTGCGTGCCTGCTGCATTATTCATAAAACCTGTATTGTACTGAGAGGTGCTTCAAGCAAGGCTGGCAGAGTTTTGCTCCACGGCATCATTATTTCATGTTTTCAGAGATCAAAACCAGGGAAAATGTAGGGTGTTTTTGTTTTTTACAAAAAGGCATACAATGAGACGAGCGATCTTAAGATAAGGCACTTACAAAATCATCAATAAAGTTTTCAAAGAGTTTATGAAGGACATTTTCCTCTCCAGTTAAAAAGTTTCAGAGGTGGATTTTTGTGTTCTAATGTTCAAGTTCGTGACTAGCCCCCAAATCTTTAAACACAGCGGTGCTAAGTTATACCAGATAACACATTATGGAAAGTGCTGATATGAATTAATAATTTATTCAGTAATAATACAAGAGTTCCTGCTAAATTATACATGTATATCACTGCCTGATTAGAAACCCCGCTTTTCTTTTCTAATCCAGCACAATATCCAACTGTGATTCTACAGCTGGTCTTTTTAATGGGCAAAAACGACCCAACAACTTTGTTTTATATGGAAAACTTTTTTTTTTAACACTAACTTCAAAAGTGCTTAACAAAAGGCTTATTCAGGATAACTAAGCATGTATGTCTTTTTAACCTGCTGGAAGAGACGTGCCCCTCCAATCTAGCATCCCCAAAAAGACAACTTCTTTTAGAAACTGGGCATTCCACCTAAACATAGCAGTTTATAGGTTAGCCAAGGTAGGTCTGCACTAGTGTTGCCCACAACCGTCATCTCTAAGGGGTGATATCCATTTACAGAGTGGAAGCCACTTCATGGGCAAGTGTTAATAGCAGCATGATTTCACTTTTGGTAACCAGGTGATCCTGTGCATATATACTTAAGATTGGCTTCATTTTAATATATTCTCTCTGCTCCTCTGCACTTCAGGTTCTTAAGCTATTTTAAAAGTAACTGGGTTTTGGCAATCACCAACTGAAATAAATGTATATGGCAACTGCTTTCCTGAGCAGGCGTGATATGTTTTATGGCTGTTCAAGCTATCAAGTTGTTCTTATATTGTAGGTAAACAAAATCTTACTGTTTTTAAAGGTCGCTGTAACTTGTTCAGATTTCTGGCACCATTTTATTGGTAACTCACTTCTGAAGCTGAAAAGATACCAGAGTTTTCTATGTTACTGTCATTGTAACACCAATAAAGTGACTTTCAATAAAAGATTTTATGTTATTTTGATGCCAGGCTCCCTTCAATCCTGTTGTTCTCCCTGTCACTGTTTGTCCTTAGGAAGCCTGTCAGGCACTGTTAGGGGGTTGTTTCTTCTTTTTCTTGTCCACACTGCCCTCAAGGGCCCATCAGCACGATGAGAAACAAGAGACCCTTTAGCAAAGGCTGGTCGCTCACTCCGTTGGACAATTTCCTCAGCTGGGTGGCAGGCGGAGTCTCCCATTAGCCACCTGCCTTGCCTCATAGGCACTTCCTCCCGGGCCCCCGATGGATCCGTTTCCTGTATCCTGACCGAGAGCCCTGGGGGGCGGCTCAACCTGTGTCAGACTCTAAAGCATCGGGCCTTGGGCGGACTCTGCCTAGCTTCATGAGTCCACTGCCTAAAAAACCGGTCCACCTAGCTGTCTGCCTCTCACACAGCCGTTTCATCCTCTGGTCTTTATCTTGGCCCTTAGTTTCCTTGTCTTCAGCTCACAGCCTGCTGAGGACCAAAGTAGTTATAGGTCATCAAAGTACTGTTTGTTTTAACATGAGAAAAAGAAGTCATTGACTAAGGGTTTATGTTTGAGATTAAAAAAATTTATGATTACATATAGCTGCATTTCTTGTAAGATTTTAGGCATAGAATAATGCAGGTAAACACTGAAACAGTGAGACACTCAGCTAAGAAAAGCAAAGTCTAGATGGGATAGCAGGTTTTAGCTCACATTGCCTCTCATGGACCAAAGGCACCACCTGGAACATCATGCTGAAAAGGGAGTCCCCCTCCACTTTGGCTCAGCGGGAGTGCAGGCTGTGATGAATCCTATAGGACTGCTGTGGTGCAAATCTATGCCAGTTGTCCTCAAGGAAGCACCTGGCTTCCTGTAGCCACATCCCTATGGAGTGCTTGAAAAGGGTTACATATAGGTCCTTTATCTCTTGCAACACAGGACTAAAAGCACACATCTCCAAAATTAAAATTAAAGCTTTGAGTTGGCATTTTTTGAGGAACTTAAAACTCCAAATAACCGAAGTAGTCTAGCTTGGGCTCACAGCTTGACCATGCTTCAGCTAGGTGCTGTAAGAATAGACCAAGAAACAGTTTTAAGAATTGGGTGAGGCTGCACTGAAAGTATATAATGAATGAAACACAGAACCCAACATAAAATAGAAATGGGGCAACCCGAGATTCACTTGTAATGAAGACTTTGGCCGTAATTGAAAAAGGGGATGGGTATGTCAAATTTGTCAAGGGGAAGGAAGCTTTCTAAGGGCAGGGACATACTGAAAACTAGGCTCCATGCTTTGAGAAAGAAACCGTGAAAGCAGAAGTGGAGGAGATAAGGAGCCTTGCTATGAGGAATCAGTAATTAAAATGGAATTAATTGAATATTTCCAGGGACACAGTTTTGTTGATACTTCAGCATTTATCCAAAAGCCAATTCAGAACCGAGACTAATGCAGCAGCATACCTTGGGACTTACCAAAGCGGTAGGATATTTCAAATATGGTCCATAACATTGGGCTAGCAAGGGCCACATGAGTCACCCAGGAGATTACCATTTCCTTAAACTGTCACTTCCTCATGGGATTCTGGTGAGTCGGAAGCCAACAGCAGGTGCTGGGACTCTGAGGGTCAGTTCCCTCCCCCCTTGCCCTGAGTCCTCTCTGGACCTTTGTGGGACAGCTCTCAGGCTCAAGCAAGTTTTGTGGCCTCACAAACAGTGTGTCTGGAATGAAACCTAGAGTCGTCACTAATAGAAAGCAGGCTGCCTCATGGTCTGATAATGCAGCCCAGGTGTGAATACTTGACACAGATACATACGCTAAAGTTGAATACTTATGAAATTAATATATTTTAGCAATATTTGAAAAAAAGTAACCAAGTGAAACGAGGCAGAAGATGTTCAGAAATGTTTTATTTTTTCACTGGTTGACAACGAAATGATCATCTGAACGGTAATGCTCACGCTGCGTCCTGAAGTAAGACACACAATCTGCTGGCAGGGAGAAAAGAGGCGAATTTCATGGTTTCATCTGTTACTCTCTTGCAAAAAAGAGCAAACCAGGCCAGTTTTAAATTTAACAAACAGAAACATTACTGGTGCTTATTATACCAACACATTTTTTCATATTGAGAACTACCCCATGAAGTAAGCACTAACCTCCTCGAAGACGGGGAAGCTGAGGCTCTGGGAATATCTGAGATCATTAAATCACATTATTCAGGAAGAGGCACAGCCAGGATGAGAATCCAGATCTTAAAAGCACATGGCTTATAAATGGAAAGAAAAAAAAAAAAAAAGTCTTCCACTGCAAGTGTAATACGTTTATCAGAGAGTATTTGGAAGAGCAGGAGGAAGGAAGAAAATCAGTTCCTGACCCTGACTCCCAGTGGTGGCAGCACCAACATCGTGGTCTCTCAGCCTGGTCCTTTTGCTGTGTAATATTTTTTAATGTGAGTGTGAACACATGGCATATCGAAATGGACAGATCAGTATTTTAAACATTATCATCTTCTGATTTTAACAGGAAAGCACAAACAGCATAGAAAACTTGGAGACTACTGAAAACCATAAAGGAAATTACAGTCACCTGGAATCTCCTAAGCCAAAAATGACCATAGTTAATATTTCCCTATATTCCCTTAGGTTTTTTTTTTTTTAAATCAGTTTTCTTTTTTACATAGCGAAGCTCATAATTTATAAGATTTTTAAGTAGAGTTAACAAAGGTCTAGGTGAATGATGACAAAGAAGAACTTGGTGACAGATCGTATTTGCCACACAACTGATTCAGTGGGTTTTTAGAAGATAATCACTTATGCTCCCTGCACAATGACATGGCCATCAAAAATGTGTAAGCCTGAAAATGCCGGTGCTAAGTTTCCGCTAAAGCGAACCCTGATGTGGATTACCATGGGTTTTTGTTTCTGTCTACATCCAAGTGAGTATAAATCATTTACATGGTAAGAACACTCCATGCATAAAGCTTTTAATACCATATAAAAGCTCTTCTAGGAAGAGACAGGAGCTGTAGTCTGATGAAAAGATTTTTACGAATCTTACAGTGAAAAATATACCATGTGACTTAAACATTTTGTGCACTGAAATTTACATAAAAGAGGCTTAGCCAGAAGATAAGGCATACCGACAAAGGCTCAAGGAAGTTCCAAATGGTGTTAAGAGACCTGATCTTCTATTCGTAAAAATCTCAAAGAATTTATTACCAATACTAAAAACTTCCATTGTACATCAAGGAGTAAACCTTTATAACAGCTATGAAGGAAAAACAGCGCTGCAAGTTTACACACGTTACTGAAGACAAAGGGTAAGAGCAAAGAAGAACTCCAGTCGGAATGTTGGTTATGTTCATACAGCTTCCTCTTGATTTAAACACTCATGACACACTGAATGAACTGAAAGAAAGAAAGGTCCACGTTATTCGGCAAACGTTGCAACAAACTGTAGCTTCTTTTTAGGCTGTTTACGTTTTGTTTCTCTAATTTGAATTTCGGATCGCGAGAGATCCCTTTCTAAAATTCAGAGTACCTGATGGGCGGAAAGGTTCATTTTGTAGGGGAAGCCGTCTAATATAAAACCCAGTGGATTCCTCTTCTTACAGAAAGCAGATCTTACTTCAGTGGATAAAGAATTATTTAAATTCCAAATATCTCAGACTCGAGAAATGGCCACGGTGAAAGGTTCCTACTCAGAACTAACAGTTCCATCACACGGGGGCCTCCAGACGACACAGTATTATCCCACCACTCACAGAGCACCCTCAACAGTTTATTCCCTTAAAATCTGCTTTATTAAAATAAATCCTAAGCATGCAACTCTATGTATGCACAGAAACAGAATATATGACCTTTTCTCGGCAATTCAGAAACCCAGGTTTAGACGCATCAGTATTCTGCTGTGAACTGTCTGCTTCACTCTAAGCCCCAATAGGCTCTGCTTTTCTATCAATTTTCTTTGTCATTCTTCTGACCCGAGGGAGGCACTGTGTGCTAATGCCCACAGCACTCCTACAAAGCCAAGCTGATCATCCCTTTCAGGTAGAGGGGAATTGAGGATCAAGACATTTAAAATCTCTTACGGGACCCCGTGGGAGGCCAAAGCCCGGGCACTTTCCACTCCACAGGCCGCCTCTCCATCTTTGGAAACAGTGTCGGGACTGTCACCAGAGATGCTAATGCACACTAATGAAAACACACCTTTAAGCAGAAGAAATAAACATATTTACACACACGCCCTTTTAAATTATCAGAACTGTGGCAGCTGCCAAACTGAAAATATGTTCACCCTTGCAGTTTGCAATAGAGAAACCTTTTAGAGCATTCAGTTATCACAGTGCTTTCCATTCTGAACGTGGTTTTTTAAAATCCATGGCTGAGCAAAGAACAGAAAAACAACTAAACCTCTCCCCAGCTTTCTTGTGTATATCCAACTAAGGCTATCCAAGATGGCACCTGGCTACATTCACATTGGTCATGTGGCCTTGTCCAATCTCATGTAGTGTGACGGTTTAGTAAATACATTGTTTTAAACTGTGGCTGAAGTCTCTGCCTTACATCCTCAATGAAGAACATGGGTGTGTCAAGTACAGCTTTGAGCTTTTCAACTGACTTCTAAGTGACAGGGATATTTGTTCAACGAAGGCAAAAACAGACACAACATCTGCATGGTGTTTTCCAAGGACATTTCTGACTGACATCTCCCAAGAGCCCAGGGAAGAAGGCATTACTACTTCCTCTCCTCAAACAGTCTTGGAGCAATGAAGAAACTTGCCTCTGTGACCCAGCCAGGAAGTGGGACCAGCTGGGCTTTGAACCAAGTCTTTCAATGCAAATCAAACAGTGGTTTATGAATAAGACTAGTAATAAGTGAAATTAATAAATTCTGAATGGTAACTCCTGATCATTTAATCCTTCATTACAGCATCCTTAAGATGCTCTTAATGGCTAACTTCAAAAGGGAATCCCCAGTTGGCACACATCTTATTCATCTACTCAGTTCTGAATTTACAGAGACTTACATCATCATATGGGAAATTCACAACACCTTGCTGAGCAGTATCCCGTCTTCGAAAGCTATCTGTAAAACACCACAGTAAAATTTATGGTTATTTTTTAACACCTGAAATCACAACAGGTAATTATTTTGGCATTGGGTTCAAACCACATTAACATCTGAGTTGTAAAACTTGTAAAACCAGCCAACATAAACAAAAGCCCACAGCAAAGAAGCCAACTAGATGAATGTGAATAGATTTAATATACAACAAAGTAATACACCAACGCAAAAGTCAGCCAACTGTCTTTTTCTTTTTTTTTTTTTTTTTTTTAAAGATTTTATTTATTCATGAGAGACAGAGAGAGAGAGAGGCAGAGGGAGAAGCAGGCTCCCCACCGAGCAGGGAGCCCGATGCGGGACTCGATCCCAGGACTCTGGGATCACGACCCGAGCCGAAGGCAGACGCTTAACCATCTGAGCCACCCAGGCGCCCCAACTGTCTTTTTCAATGTGCAACTGGAAGAAAGCACCTGATCCCAAAGTCAGTAAAAGCCATGTGACTTCTGAGGCCATTACTTAGTTGAAATGAAAAATTCAAACTTCTTTATAACATAGTGTTTAATTAGGAAATGGATGGACGGAGTCCCTAATATGGCAAATGGGCTGTAATCAAATATTCCACCTGTCTGAGCTCTGTGCTACTGCAAAGGATTTACTTAAATAAAAACAACAAAAAATCTGCCCTCATATTTTTGTTAGAATGCAAAAAAGTTATAAACCCAGGTATTAAAAAGAGTAAAAGACTGGGGCGCCTGGGTGGCTCAGTCGGTTAAGTGTCTGACTCTTGATCTCAGCTCAGGTCTTGATCTCAGGGTCATGAGTTCAAGCCTTGCTCCACACATAGCATGGAGCCTACTTTAAAAAAGAGAGACAGAAAAAGACTGAAGAGAGGGATGGAACAAGAAAAATATACAAAAGAAAGAAAAAGAAAAGAGGGCATAGAAAAATAGAGATTACTCATATACCCTCATCTAAGAAGTCTATACCTCTGAAACAGATGACCATTTTAAATTACTTTCCAACAGGAGGACTTAGGAGAGAGAGCTACAAATGAGTAATTTTGCTTTCTTCAAATATTTACATTCTAGGGAGAAATCACAGAACCGCTCATGCTCTGACCAAAAGTGCACAAATTAGGTGATCACGTTTTAGAAAGTTTTTGTGAAATTAAGATTTTTTTTTGAAGATTTTATTTATTTATTTGACAGAGAGAGACACAGCAAGAGAGCGAGAGAGAGAGAGCGCACAAGCAGGGGGAGAGGGAGAAGCAGGCTTCCCGCTGAGCAGGGAGCCCGATGCGGGGCTCGATCCCAGGACCCTGGGATCATGACCTGAGCCGAAGGCAGATGCCCAACGACTGAGCCACCCAGGCGCCTCTAGTTAAGATTATTTTAAGAGCAACTTACCACTAATCTGAAAGGATTTCTGGGAAAAAACACAATTATTCTGCTAGATACGTTTAATAGCAGTGTTCAGAAAGCCCCTGAAGTTAGGGGAAACAAGAGAAATTGTGGACAACATAAGTTCAGAAACACTGAAAGTGAAACGTCACACAAACTGTGTGTTCCTGGCCCTGACAACACCACCTCAAAGAACACACCTGTCAGGGCTCGAAGTTTGACACAGCAGGCGATGTAGTCGTCGAAGGTGATCTTGCCATTGGTGCTATAGCGTTTTGCAATTGAATTCACAGCCTGGGGACTCAATCGAAAGCCTGAGGAAGGAAACAGTTAAAGGATGACAAAAAGACCATTAAAAATAATCACAATTCTTTCAGCCTGGGAGTACTCATTTTAATTGTGACTATGCACTAGGCATTATATATTATGTGTTTAGTTAGGAATATACACTGCTTCTAGACAACGGATACTGCCTTCACGTAACATTTTCAGAAATGAAAAAAGGACGAGCTCGGCCAGGTGGCTGGAGTCGGCCGTACCCACCCATCGTGGCGAGGGCCTTCTGCAGCTCCTGAGGGTCCACTGTGCCGCTCCTGTCGCTGTCGAAACTGATGAAGTGCTGTCTCCAGCCATTCAGCACAGCCCAGAGTTCTTTAAATTCATTGAAACCCATTGTGCCTGACATATCTCTCTGAACTGTCATCAAGGATTAGAGCTTCTTTATTTTGCAACATTTTCTAACGAATAAATCAAAGATGAAGGATAAAGGAATTTAATGTTCTTTTGGCTAAAAACGTTAAAAATGTTGCATGTTCTTCTTAGTGTGATGTAATGAAAAGGGCCTATGGAGAAAAAACTCTGGGGACGTATTTTCGCTGTGGGAAGAGAATCGATGTGACATGATTACAAGGAAGGAAGGTGGCCGCGGGTGAGCCACCCGTGAAAAGCAATCTTGTTTCTGGAACTGGGCTGCACTTTCTGGGGGCCCCGGGCTATGTTGCTGGGGGTTGGGGGGTCTTCACCCTAACATTCCCTTTTGGTAGGCCCTTCCAGACCCAGGGTTTTCACTTTTGGAAAAGAGACGGGATGGAAGACAGCGCAGGGTCAGCACCAGCTAAACCAAGTCTAAGAACTGTGATGTGAAAAATTCCATTGCTTGAAGGTCACAACAACAAGGCAAAAAAACTTCCCTGACCACCCTGATTTCTATACTTGCCCTCCTTCGATGCTTCCATGAATTCTTGAATAACCAATGCTCTATTTACTAAGCTCCCTTCCTTTTTCACACCAAGTTACATCTTAAAAGCTAATGATTTCAGAAAACTTTTTTTGTGGTCATTTGTCACCTTGTGTTTACTGGGTATTAATTCTTAGATGGATTCTTTTAGGAATTTTTTTTTTTTTGATTATGAAAATACCCTCCAGTCAGCAATCAAGGTAAAGGATACATCCAGCATTGAAACCATAAGCCGACAAGTCTCCAGGTTAAAAGCTGTTAAGAAAAGTACATGCATATCAATACAAGTTTCAAAAATTCACATTACATTGCATATATTCAAATTAATTAGAAAAGTAACTATACACTCCTACTTTTATATGCTATTCAATTTATGTGGAACTAAATTACATGGAGCTTTGAAGATTTTTTTCAGATAGAGAGAATTCCTTGTAGAACCCAAATTTGATTTTAACAACTTTAATAGCAATCTTTTTAAAAAGTACTACATTGTATTGTTAATATTTTTAGGTAGATAATGGTTTTGAAGTTGGCGGCGGGGGCGGGGGGGAATGTTAAGATATCTAGAGTTTGCTCCAAAAGAAAACGGACAGGATTACAGATGAACTAAGAATGGCAACACACTGTTAACTGGTGAAGCTGGGTGACAGGTGCATAGAAGTTCACCGCATCATTATCTCTGTTCTTGGATACACATAACATTTTCTATAATATAATCTTTTTAAAGTTTTATATACCTTTCTTGCCGTTGAAACTGTAATATACTGAGTTCAATTCACCATGGTGAGTCAGAAGATAGGGCTACTTTGTTCCTACTCCTAACAGGCTATAAATAGCTGGTTTTGCTAATTCTATTACATTAGTTCATGTATCTTTCTTTCCCCTTTAATGTCACACACTGAATGGTAACCTCCTACCTCAAAGAGCCTATGACCTGTTTTCACATACAGTAAGTTTATATATGAAACCAGATAGATATGCTTGCCAGAACTGTGCTAAATAAGAGCACTCTGGAGGAAGATACGATGACCAATTCAGGGGTGGCCACTATTCAGAAGCCTTTTGAGTTTATGTACAGCTCGAGCGTATTCCAAAGGAATTTCTAGAGCTCACTTAGAAAACCAAAGTAGAATATACTTATTGGTTAATGGGCCTACTGGTGATCTACCTAAGCATTAGCAAATTCCAAATAAAGAATTCCTTGCAGCTTACATTGTGTTCATGGGAACTGATGACTGGGAAAATATTTAGGCACAAAGAAGATGTAAGGCTAGAAGGCAGAAGTGACCAGAGTCATGTGGGCGAAGCTGGCATAAATTCTGCAGGTGTGTGAAAAGGCACACAGAACTAACAATTTTATAGCTCTTACTAGCTTCATATTTATCTCCAACCAAACTGAATTTAAGACACATCTGAGCTCTTAGTACTGTAATGTCTCCAGACCGTACAAACTATAGGTTTTCCACTTTTTTTTTTTTTAAAGATTTTATTTATTTATGTATTTGAGAGAGAGAGAGAGAATGAGAGAGAGCACGAGAGGGAAGAGGGTCAGAGGGAGAAGCAGACTCCCTGCCGAGCAGGGAGCCCGATGTGGGACTCGATCCCAGGACTCCAGGATCATGACCTGAGCTGAAGGCAGTCGCTTAACCAACTGAGCCACCCAGGTGCCCTAGGTTTTCCACTTTTAACAGGTTCCTGTGTTTCACATATCCTGGAACCTGAAATAAAAGGTGGGGAACTATTTCTATTTTGGCCCTTCAGACTCCATCTAACCCACAGATACAGTTCTCTGAAGTGACAGGAGCCAACACTTTTCCACACTTTTGAGAAAGAGTTGGCTGATTCTTCATTCTGACTTTTAAGTTGTGTGGAGGTATGAAGTCTCTTTAATCCAGACCAATGGTTCTCAGCCCTGGATACTTATCAGAATCACCCAGAAGCTTAGAATATTCTGATAACTGGGACTACACCTCGGAACAATTTTTTTTTTCCAACTTTACTGAGATATAATTGACAAATAACATTGTGTAAGTTTAAGGTATACAATGTAATGATTTCATATAAATATATACTGCAAAATGAAACCAGAATTAGGTTGGTTAACACATCCATCACCCCACACAGTTAACTTTTTCACGTGTGTGATGAGAACTTTTAAGATCGACTCTCACAGCCATTTTCAAGTACACAACACAGTATTACATATAGTCATCATCATCACAGAACAATTAAATCAAAATATCTGAGCATGGAACCCAGGTGTGACTATTTTTTTAAAGCTTCTCAATAATTCCAGTGAGCAGCCAAGGATGCTTCCAAAAGTGTGATTCCTGGACCAGCCATGTTAATTATCATCTAGGAGCTTTTAGAGCTGCATAATCTTAGCCCTTAACCAACAAAATCAGAATCTGCATTTTAATACGATCCCCAGGTGACTTATATTCACATACAAACAAGCTAGTCAATCGGGACCACCATCATCTGGAAGCTTGTCAGAGATGCAAATTCTCAGGTCTTACCTCACACCTTCTGAATGAAAAATTCTAGGACAGGGCTCAGCAATCCAGTGATGCTGATGCCACTAAAGTTTAAGAACCAGTGCTTGAGAGGGCCTGAGAGCCACTAGGCAGACCCACCTGTGTTTGACTTTAAATCAACGGTTCTGAGGGGCCATGAAGCAAACACCTTCCCTGTGTCCCAGGGCTATGCACGGCACCACACCCAGTGGTGCCAGGAAGCCCAGGAATCTGGTCATCTTTTGTGAGAAGGATTTAAGAGAGGGAATGAGATGCACAATGAATAAAAGTGAATGAACAGAAAATTCACTATTCCAGACAGTTCTGATGAACTAGAACACTGATGTCTATAAGTTTGGATAGGGAAAACTCCTGCTCCATTTTAGCTGATTTTTTCCCCCAGAAATAGCTTTTATTAATGCTAATTCTATTTTAAATAATTTTAGAAGAATCTTTGCTATAATTTTACTTTTATTCTCTCCCTTCTCCTGTTCATTCTACTAGAATGCTCATACATCTTTTTTTTTTAAGATTTTATTTATTTGATAGAGAGAGACACAGCGAGAGCAGGAACACAAGCAGGGGGAGTGGGAGAGGGAGAAGTAGGCTTCCCGCTGAGCAGGGAGCCTGATGCGGGGCTCGATCCCAGGACTCTGGGATCATGACCTGAGCCGAAGGCAGACGCTTAACCGACTGAGCCACCCAGGCACCCCGATACATCTTTTCTTCTAGTAGAAATCCACAGTGTAATGGACCCAGCAGGAAAACCCTACCTTCAGTTTTTCTCTCAACCTTACCAGAGTAACAACTACACTCAAGGGGAAAAAAAGAAGCTGAATTACTTTCTCACAGACTAGAGCAACTTCTCTTATCAACTCCATCTCTGGGTATGACTGCTTCCTTTCAACCTGGAGAAGCTGCCTGTAGGTACTAGGTTGGAATATCCCTCCGCCCCTCACCTCACCTCCATCTGTGCTTTTTAGTTTGGAAGCTGGGTTTAAAAAACACCAATGGTTGTGTAACTTCTGTATCATAAAACTCACATCACCCTGACTCCTCACAAGCAGGATGGTTTTGTGATTCATTACAGCCTCCACAACCAGATAACAATAAGCAAATAAATTCAATCCCATGGTTCTGATGACTCAGGAAATGTCTTCCCTAGAACTCAGTGATCTAAGACCATCACTAACCATGATTTCCTCATATGAAATGTTTAAAAGACTATTCTCCAAGGATATACAACCCATTTGTTAGTCAGATTTTAAAACCTGCCACACCTCTTCTACCAAAAGGGTACAAAATAATAGTTTATGTTGGGACATAGCTCATTTTCATAAACCCTGCTATTAAACCAGAATTCTTTGTTCGCTAACCCCAACTGCTTGAGGTTAACAATGAACAATTTAGATCTATTTCCTACAACACGAAAAAAAAAATCCTCTATCTAGAAAGGGCTTCTTTTTTAAAGGAACAAATAAAATGAGAAATGATAAAGTTCCTCTTTCATATTAATTTCTCCAGCTAGGAAATATTAATAGGATACTGAAGTCACATAAAAGAAAGGATGATTGAAATAGAAATGCAAACAGTTTAAAAAGAGAGCCATCTAGTAAGTATGCCGTGTCACACAGTTAAAAAATTCCACTATAAATCTTCAGGTGTGACTTCTGGTCTGAGCATTTTAATCCACAGTTTACCAACAGCTAAGGCTTTGATTTGATGTTCTGTCTCAATTAACCACTGGCTAAGCTGGCAAGTCAAAACACTATTCTCTACCTTGCGTGTTTGTCATGGTCAAGATCTGATTTGAAAAGAAGCATGTGGTGGTGTGTGGGACGATGAGAAGCCCTGTCCGGATACAGCGCCTCTGCAACTCAGGGCAAAGAGCTCTTTCAAAAGGCAGGAAGGTGGTGTAAGTGCAGCAGATCCAGGCTGTGAGGAACTGAGGAGGAAAGGAGAAGGAAGACTAGTGCAAAGAGTTTGGAAATTAGGAAGGGTACTTCCGACTTAGCCTGCACACGTTCTCTGAATGGAAAGAGAAATGAAGCAAGTCCTGGGGGGTGTCACGACAAGCATTCACATTGCCAGCAAAATACTCAGAGAGCAGGAGTGCAAAGTGGCTCCCTGAAGACCAGGGCTGGGGACCAGCCACTGTGGGGAAGGGGGTCAGGACCAAACACTCAGAACTAGGCATGCAGGGCAGATCACTCAGGGACCAGCTGCACAGGACCAGCCACCAAAAACCCTAAGTGCCAGGAGGCTCAGGACAGAGTCAACTTTTGGCAAATAGCCGTAAATGACAGCTCCTGTCATTGATGACACCTGACCTGGCGGATTTCATTTCAGCACCTTACCTCGTCCTCTGTGAGGGAGGCCACAGAGACTCTCTCATGGCTTCCACGCGTCCCCCATCCAAGAGACCCACTCAACTGGCAGGCAGGTAGTGTGGCGTGACTTATTAACAACTGTTTTCAAATTAACATTTTGTAATAATAAACAACTGAAATTAGCTTTGGAAATTCTAATTTTTGCTAGATCAGAAAAGCCCAGTATCCTTGAAGGCTATCATCCTAAGTAACGGTTAAAATATGAAACACAAGAGCACTTCTAGAGAAACTTTGGGACTGTCAACTCACGTTTGTATCCTCCAGCAATGCCTGACTGGGTCAGGCATCTCTGCAATTCATCAGCATCTATTTGCCCATCCTTTTGTGGGGGCGGGGGGTGGAGAAAAAAGAGAAGAGGAATCATTAATAGTGCTTTGTGCCTTCTAGTTCTTTGCTTACTTTCAGTATATTATTTCAGCAATAATGACAAAGAAAATGAGCATTTTCATGCATGAGCCTTTTTTTTTTTTTTAAAGGAATGCCTTCCAAAAACAGGTATTCCTTTCCCAGTTCTACTTTCAAAAATAATTTAATGAAAGAAAAACAAATCGTTAAGTCCTCTTCCACAAATGCATAATTAGGGCCATAAACAAAAAATACATTTCTCGATACCTAAGTAAAGTCGGCAGTTTCAGACTCTATTTTAAATGATTATTACATAAGAATTCACAAGGTCGGAAAGCCACTTACACCATACTTTAGTATTACCAATATCTTGTCATTTCCTCTAAATTCCTCAATTAGATTTGGCATTAAATTTTCAAGTACAAGGTTCCTCTTTTCAATAAAATACAGGTGAATTCAGTTTCTTTCAATAATACATATTTTTTAATGTATGAATAAAACTAGTTTCCATCTTGAACTTACTCTTCTTTTAGTCTGAGCTAGGAAACTGCCCGTTAAGCACTTAAAATTATTTATATAGTTGCTTAAAAGTCTTATTCCTCTTTCTAGCTTTTGGTTGTGGGGGGGGTAGGAGGGAGGGCAGAACAGGGTACAGAGCTGACATTCGTAAATAATACGCTTGGATGAAACAAAGAGAGGCCTTCGTGATCACCTGTGGTGAATGGTTTTTCCAGAACCACAATTATATCTGGAAGATACAGGTTCCCAGGGTCTACTCATTGGCTGACCAAGTTCAGAACCAGATAGATGTTATTTTTAGGGACTTAAAAATAAAACACCCAAATCCTCAATTCTAAGTGAGGAGCAGGATCAATAATTTGAAAGACAATGGATATGCTGATGTAGGCCGGGACCGCTGCAAGCCAAGCATGTGGGGTCACTTACAGGGCGGGAGGCAAGGAAATCTAAGAACTCAAGTCTTGAGCTTTGCCTTGTCTTGTGGTTTCAAAGATACAGATCATTCGCAGATGAAGCAGATACTTAAAAGGGAAGCTCTTTCAGTTTTAGACTCAATTTTCCACTCAATTTCTTTTCTTTTTTTTTTTTAAAGATTTTATTTATTTATTTGAGAGAGAGAGAATACGAGAGGTAAGAGGGTCAGAGGGAGAAGCAGACTCCCCGCCGAGCAGGAGGCCAGATGCGGGACTCAATCCCGGGACTCCAGGATCATGACCTGAGCCGAAGGCAGTCGCCCAACCAACTGAGCCACCCAGACGCCCTTCCACTCAATTTCTTGAACTACATTTCTTAGAATGCTATTCTGAAAGGTGGTCTTGGGTTTTTATCCCGTAATAGTGGAGAACATCTTCACTTGAAGATTGTGTTATTTCTTGCTTTTGTTCAACACAAAGCTAACTCGAATTCATAAGGGCAAACATCGCTTCTGGACAGCTCTGGGTCATACCAGCAGTGGATTTACCATACACAGTGGCCTGGGGAGCTAGGGAAGTGTACAGCAATGTACACCACCACCTATCTGTCCTACAGCTCAAGGTGGAGAACTGAAAAGTCTCGAGAGGGAGGGAACCTTCATTCTCTCTCAGTCAGCAGGCCACCATATCTTGTAAGGACATGAAGAGCTGACCCAAAACAGCATCAGCATCAAAGAGAAACTAAACTGTTCACAAGATTAACTTCCTGATACTAAAGGAGCAGTAACTTCCTTATTATGAAGCTGGTAAGTTTTTAACATAAGTACCTATTTCCTAGGGGGGTAAACGATTAACAATCAGATTCAACCCAAAGAAAGTGTCCATTAGAATCTGACTACATAATTACCGGTAGGTGTCTTTAAGTTGTACAAACAACGGTTGAGGTGTTCACCAGATCTGGAATTTCTTCTCTGGAAACCACCACGGACCCTGACAATTCATAGTTCTAAAAACATCTTTCTACTTTACAGATCTTTACAGTATATTTACAGCCCCCTATTCCTATTTAACCAGACCCTAATTCAATCACAAATTTAGTTTTGAAGTGAACCTACATAAATACAGGTAACAGTCCTAATTTGTTCTGATTATTCAGAAATAAATAACTGACTATACATTTCCTTCTCTTTTTCTTTTACAGAAGCAAAGGCATTTTTTTCCAGAGGAAAAGTTCTTTTTTCCATCCCACTCTAACAGTAGCTAATACAAACGTAAACTCTGACAATTCTTTAATATTAAGGGGAAAAGCTAACCTGTCCAGCTACAGCAGCAAAGTAACCATAGAGCGGATCCTGAGTCTGTCCGGGAAACGTAGGTCCTCCGGGGGCCCCTCCATACTGTAAAACAAACACAAAAGCATCATTTCGCTGAATCCAGTTTTATTCTTTCACCACTGCATGCTTTTGTGCAAAGCCAGGCAACTGCCCGTCCTTCACACGGATGGTTCACCTCCCCACCACCGGGCACGCTTTAACTGCAATCATTTCTCCCCTTCTCTTCCATTCCCACCCCCGCAGAATTTAAAAACTGGCAGCTTGGACCAAAATGAGTTGTCCTGAAAGTGACATCTACATAAGTGAAGCAACTTTAAAAATCCTTATTAGCCTGCAGGTTACTGATTAAATGCAACCTAGGCAAGCAACTTAAGCGCAGGGCTCGGAATTGTTTTCCTTTTACTTTCACAGCACTTATGGTATTTTTCAAAGCGTTCTGAGACAGGTGTAGCCCAGGCCGGGCTTAGGTGTCTCGGTTGGACTATGCGGCGGCGAGCACCTGGGTGGGGAGGCGCGCAGAAGGAACATTCCGTCTCGGAAACAGTTCCCACGACGACGCGTATCCCAGGCTCCTGGAGAGGTGGACTTCCTCCCGGAGGGCTTCGCCCCCTCCCTACCCCGCGGTCTTTCCGCGACTTTTTTTTGTTTTTTCCTCTCACTTGCTTGTAAGGAGGGGAGGTGGATCTCCGGACCATCCGAGATTAAAATGGCTGTTGCTCTCAGGGGAAACCGGGAGGGGGAGGAAGCCAATCCCCAATTCGCACAATTTCACGCCGCACATCCAAAGCACAGGGACGGCTTCTCGGGTCAAAACCCACCCGCGCCTTGGCCCCACGCAGCCACCTGCAGGGCGAGGGGACTGAGAAGAGGGAGCCCGAGGATGAGGCCGAAGGGCAGGGGCCAGGGGCGAGGCAGCGGGCAGGGAGAAGCCGGGGGCGGGAGGCGCCCGGGGAGCCGCCCCGGCGGAGCGGCCCAGTGTGGCCTCTCGGCATCCTCGGTGTCCCAGGGTCGCGCCCGGGCCGCGAGCCCGCGCGGGCTGCACTTACCCCGCCTGGGTAGTACCCGCCGCCGGCGCCAGGGTGCCCCGGGTACGCCATGGTGCAGACTGCGCCGCCGCCGCTGCCGCCGCCGCCCTCCCGCCGGGGCCGCGCCGGAGCGCACCACGCGGGCGGCGGGGAACGAGCGCCCGAGCGGCCCCCCGCACCGCGCTGCGCTCGGACCCCGGCCCCCTGCGTGCGCTCGGCTTGCCTCTGCGCCTTCTGGGCTCAGGTGGTGCGCAAGCCCGGCTGCCGCAAGCGCCTGGGACCTGCGACGCAGTGCTCACCGGTGACTTTCCTCCCCGCGACACGAATGGCACATTCCAACACCGGTACGGTGCCCCGGGGATTCTTTATTGCTTCCTACTCCGCTCTATTCTGATACTTTTAAACATTTTAAACAACTTTATTAGTCAGGGCCGCCCGGCTCTAAGTTGGGTGCGGTTTTGTGAGGAAGGGGGCTGAATGCAGTAGGGCCGTTTTTAGATGCCTTTGAGGAAAGGAGACGTTGAAAAATCAAAATATGAAAACGCCCTTGGAAAACAGGAATATACTTCAGGAACTGTGTGCAAAAGAGCGTTTGGCTCGCGGTTGCACATTTCACTGAACGGCACCGGGGTGTTTCCTCGCTAGGGGACACGGTCAGCTCCTGGTTAAGCTGGGCGTGATGTGGCCTGGGGAAGACAGGGCATTTCCTGGCAGGGCAACCCCGTCCAGATTCTTAGAAAATGAGCTGTTTGAATTATCTTGATGATTCAGGCGAAACCATCGCTCTCTCCAAAATTACTCGGCTCCTTTTTATGCAAGAAAAGTTTATTGCTAAGAGTGTGCTGCTCAGTATTTTTTCAGGAAGATGAGAGGTTAGAACTATTCCCTTAGGTAGATTCAGAAAATGGTTCTCTTCATTTTTCTTTTTCACCTCGTTGAACAGTCTGATGAGAGCAATTCAGGTGTGAGATTTTCGTTTGGTTTTGTTTCATGTCATTTCAGTCATAAAGGATGTTTGTTTCTGAATTTTATCGTTTTAAGAAATGCACTGAGGAGCGACATTCACAGTTTTTCTCTGGCGGTTGCACAGAAAAATTGAAAGTCATCAACATCTAACAAATATTGGAGCACCTGCAGAGTGTGGTGATGCGCTTGTTCACCATGGGGGACACGGTTCCTCCGTTCCACGTTCCTGGGCTGTGTTCCCACTAAGGGCATTGTTTTTCTCGTGCGTAACTCCCTTCCAAGTCCTCATTTTGGATAATCAGACTCCAAAAATGAGAGTCCTGGATTGTGAGAACAATTTTAATAGTTCCTGTTGTTACATATCAAAAAGCTAAAGATTACCTCTTATGTTTTATTTAGGAAGTAGATTATTGTTTTCAAATACCAAAGCAATTATCAAGGTAGATTAGACATTTTATGAGCCCTTTGGCCTCTGTGGGTTTTTTTTTTCCCTACTTATTTTTTTCTTTTTTGTGATAAGAACAACAAACATGAGGTCTACCCTCTTAACAAATTTTTAAGAGTACAATATGGTATTGTTGACTATATGCACAGTGTGGTACAACGGTTCTCTAGGACTTTTTATCTTGAGTGACTGAAATCTATACCCCTTGAACAACTACTCCCCATTTACTCCTCCCTCCAGCCCCTAGCAACCAGTACATGAGAGGGGGGAGGGTCAGAGGGAGAAGCTGACTCCCCGCTCAGCAGGGAGCCCGATGCGGGACTTGATCCCTGGACTCCAGGATCCTGACCTGAGCCCAAGGCAGTCGCTTAACCAACTGAGCCACCCAGGCGCCCAAGGTAAGTGTACTCTTAATCACCTTCACCTATTTCAGCCATTCCCCCCGCCCACCTCCCCTCTGGTAACCATCAGTTTGTTCTCTATACTTAAGAGTCTGTTTTTTGGTTTGTCTCTTTTTCCTTTGTTCATTTGCTTTGTTTCTTAAATTCCACATATGAGTGAAACCATATGGTATTTGTCTTTCTCTGACTTATTTTGCTTGGCATAATACTCTGTAGCTTCATCTATGTCATTGCAAATGGCAAGATTTCATTTTATTTTATGGCTGAGTGATATTCCATTGTATATATATATACCACTTCTTCTTTATCCATTCATCCTTCTATGGACACTTGGGCTGCTTCCATAATTTGGCTATCGTAAATAATGCTGTAATAAACAAAGGGGTGCAAGTATCTTTTCAAATTAGTGTTTTTGTATTCTTTGGATAAATACCCAGTAGTGGAGTTATTGGATCAGATGGTAACTCTATTTTTAAGTTTTTGAGGAAACTCCATACTGTTTTTCATAGTGGCTGCACCAGTTTACATTCCCACCAGTAGTGCAAGAGGGTTCCTTTTCCTCCACATCCTTACTAACACTTGTTGTTTCTTGTGTTTTTGTTTTGAGAGAGAACACGCGCAAACAGGGGAGGAAGGGCAGAGGGAGAGTGAGAATCTTAAGTATGGAGCCCGACACAGAGCTCCATCTCATGACCCTGAGATCATGAGCTGAGCCAAAATCAAGAGCTGGACACTTAACCAGCTGAGCCACTCAGGTGCTCCTGTTTCTTCCATTTTGATTTTAGCCATTCTGACAGGTGTGAGGTGATAACTCATTGTGGTTTTGATTTGCATTTCCCTGATGATCAGTGATGTCGAGTATCTTTTCATGTTTCTGTTGGCTTTTTTAGCCCATTTTTTAAATTGGGTTATTTTTTTGCTATCGAGTTGTCAGAGTTCCTTATATATTTTGCAGACTAACTCCTAATCAGGTGTATGGTTTGCAGTTTTTTTCTCCCATTCCATGTTGTTTCCTTTGCTGTGCGAAGCTTTTTAGTATGCTGTAGTCCTACTTGTTTTTGTTTTTGTTGCCTATGCCTTTGGTGTCATAGCCATGAAGTCATTGCCAAGACCAATGTCATGAAGATTTTCCCCTGTTTTCTTCTAGGAGTTTTATAGTTTTAGTCTTATATTAAGTCTAATCCATTTTAAGTTGATTTTTATGTATACTGTAAGATAAGAGTCCAATTTTACTCTTTTGTGTGGGGATATCTGGTTTTCCCAACACCATTTGTTGAAGAGACCATCCTTTCTCAGTTGTGTATTTTTGGCATTCTCGTGGGAGAGCAGTTAATTGTATATGCATTGATTTATTTGGGGGCTCTCTATTCTGTTACTTGACCTTTGCTTTGAAAGAATAGATAGGGAGGACTGAACTCAAAGTTGAGTGTAAACTCTCTCAAGACTCAAGTTTGAAAGAGCATATAGCATATAAAATATCTGTAAGTATGCAGGATGAGCTTTATGGATAAGTAACTATGCTAATTGTCATTTTAGTCATCTTTAGACTTCTTTCTACTACTCTACTGCTAAAGAATTAAATTTAATGGAGTGCTGGAGGTGAAATCCTTAAAATTCTTTAAATTACTGTAACAAATTGGTAAGCTGCTCCTGCTTTCATTTACGAAAAAAATTGTAGCAACTAATAATAACAACAGACACATATAGTACTTAATATGTGCCAGACCCTCTTCTAACACTTTATATATTTGCTTAATCCTCATGGAATCCCATGAAATAAATGGTATCATCATCCTTATTATACAGTTGGGGAAACAGAATAGATGAGACAATTTGCCCAAGTGGAAGGAACACAGAGCTGAGCTAGGCTGCCAGGCCATCTTGGCTCTGGAGTCTGTACCCCACACTAGGGGACAGCAAACTTTGTCAAGGGCCAGACAGTAAACAGAATAGGCTTTGTGGGCCGTATAGTCTCCGTAGCAACTGCTCACTTCTGGCATTGTAGCATGTGAGCATCCAGAGACAATACACAAATGAATGGGTGTGTTTCAATGCAATTTTATTTATAGACACTGAAATTTGAATTTCATATATCATGAAACATTATTCTTCATTTTATTTTTTTTCAACTCTTAAAATATGTACATATCATTTTTAGCTTCCTGTTATACAAAAACAGGAAGTGGGCCAGATTTGGCCCTTGGGTAGTAGTTTGCCAACCATTGCTAAGAACCCTTCTAGGATTCTGGCTATTTCTCTGGGAGAATAGCACTTTAGCAAATGATTTGCTGCTTTTAAGATAGAGCTTTGGGTAGCAGTGGCAGAGTCACACTGAGGAATGATGACCTCCCTGGGATAGGATCCGATGTATAAAATGGCTTCTTCAGAATCTTCCCTGTAGACCAGCAAGAGGACCAAAAGGAACACTGTGAAACCCCAACTTGTCAATCTCACCCTGTGTAGTAGTAGTTAGTGGGTCTGTTCAAGGACAAAACTGGATGCAAAGCCAGCTTTTAAATGTTTCTACATGTAACATGAGTTCCTTTATTCATAGGCTGAGAATTGTCAGATATCCCCAGAAATCAGGAAAAATTATTCAATAGGAACTCTACAAAAATAGAAAGTGAATACAGGCAATTTACTTATATGGTTTTGACACTCAGTCCAAAGGAAGGGGTGAAGGTGGAGGGAGAAATAAGCAACTTTTTGAAGTTCTTGCTAAATGTTGTACTAGATACTTCCTTCTGGTATTGCACTTAAAGAACATCACCTTCAAAAGGAGATGCAATTACTCACATTTTATGGACAAGGAAATTGAGGCTTAAGTAGCTTTCCCAAGGTTACATATCACGTCTCTGACCTCTGATCTACCTAACTCAAAATCATGGGCCTTTTAAGATATGAAAAATTACAAAGATATTAAACCAAACACAATTTTTTCCCTCATTGTACTGCTTCCTGAGGAATTAGGGTAGAGGAGGGACTGTAGGAAAAGAATTTTTAGAGGTAGAAAACCCCTCCAAAGGTCCTAAGTGTCAGCCTTGGGCACAACCACACAAATCATCAGAGTAATGCTTACTTATTTCCTTCATTTCTAAATATAACCTGGAGAAATCGAGTCTGTTCCTTGTGTCTACTTTGATTTTGAACCCAATAAAAACCTCAGTGGAATAAGAACTCATCCTTATACCTTCATATCACAGAGTCCTAGGTATGGACACTGCAACCCCAAGCTATTTAGAGAAACTCAGCAACAGAACACCCAAGCTATATAGTTAGAAGAGGG